GAGGTGCAGCCAGGTACCTCCTGCAGCTCCCAGTGCCACAGCTGGATGTCACCCCAGCCCCTCCCTGCTGTGCACCACCATCCTTCCCTTGAAGTCACAGCCTTTCCAAGGGCTCTGTGTGGGGATAGACTGTGGGAGAACCAGTGATGCGTCCCAGCATGACATGGGCTATGCCAGCTGGTGTCACCACTGGCAATGGCTGAAGCCACCATGATTAATGAGCAGTGGGAGCAGTTACGAGGCCTGGGCATCTCCCACTGCATTTTCCGATAAAGCAGCACATTTCCCATTCTTCCTCTGGTCAGACCTGGTTGAACTTCCCTATTGGTAAGGGACGGTCCAACACCTTCCTACAAGAGTCCATTAATCGCAGGGTGGCTCTTGCCTTGACACTTCATGTCTCTATTCCTTTGCAAAGAGAGGAATTCCACCATTTTCTCTTAGGCCGACTTTCAAAAACATAAATTAGACATCCCTCCAGAGAAGCCTGTTTCTGAAGTGATGGTGAGAGCACAGACAGAAGCACCACTCTTCAGAGACAGCCCTATTTAGTTAACTTCAGTATTTTTAATTACTGCCAATTTCCCGGGCTGTTTAATGAGAAAGTCTGTGGCAGTTCCTATTATCTTAAACTGACCTAAGGCTCTCCAGGGCATCCCCAAGCCAATGACAGCTAGTGTTTAGCAGGCTCATTTGGAACACCTGGAAAAGGCATGGGGGCAGGATGGAAGAGGAGACACTCAAGTTTCCAGGCCACATAGATTAACTTTGGAATAATTTGGAGGTTAAGAAATAGCAGGATACTACTCAGACCACAAGGATTTCATTGAATAAAGCGTGTAAATCAACTGACAATGTCCATAAACCATTTGGAGGATAAAATCCTACATAGCCAGGTCCAAGTGAGCAGTGAAAACAAGGTTTGTTATTCCAGGTATGTCAGTGTGCCTTATTTAATGCAAGTACACTTTATACAAGAGGGATCCCTGTGGATTTCCATCTCTGGGGCTCTCAAGATATAAGAAGGACATGGACCTGTTGGAGAAAGCCCAGATGAGGCCATTAAGATGCTCCGAGGGCTGGAACAGCTCTGCTATGGAGACAGGTTGAGAGAATAGGGATTGTTCAGTCTGGAGAGGAGAAGGCTCCAGGGAGACCTCAGAGTCCTTCCAGTGCCTAAAGGGGTTCCAAGAGAGTTGGAGAGGAACTATGGACAAGGACCTGGAGCGATAGGAAAAGGGTGAATGGTTTCCCACTGACAGAGGGCAGGTTTAGATGGGATATTGGGAATAAATTCTTCCCTGTGAGGGTGGTGAGGCCCTGGCACAGGTTGCCCAGAGAAGCTGCGGCTGCCCCATCCCTGGAAGTGTTCAAGGCCAGGCTGGATGGGGCTCTGAACAACCTGGTCTAGTGGAAGGTGTCCTTGCCCATGGCAGGAGGTTGGACTAAGGTGTTCTTTAAGGTCCCCTCCAACCCACACCACTCTAGGATTCTATGAATGCTGTGATAAACTGGAGTCCAGTGGGAGCTGCTTTACTGGTACATTTGTCATGGAAAGCACATCTGCTTTTGGCAGAATGAAAACACTGCAAAAAGTAGCTATGTGTCAAAACAACACTGCACTCAGGGTAAATATTCTGCTGCAGACTTGGGCTTTATAATTTGTTTCCCCAGCACCACTTAGGCTTCTGTAGACATTAAGTAAGGCAATATAATACCCTGTTGGCTGGCTCTGGGGAAAGCTACTCAGCACTGCCAGGGAACTTAATGCCAGCACTGAACTCCTTAGTGCAAAGAAAGGGTGGGAAAGAGGTGGGGACAGACAGAGGCTTCTGGAGTGGCCAGGGACTGGGTCTCCCAGTTGCCAGGTAGCTTAGAGTTACAACTATGCCTCATTTGCCTGAGCAAACTTACCCCACGGGACTATATTTGCAGAGCACGGCCTTTGCTTCCCATTCCTTTGGGCAGTATAAAAATACTGAGAATTCTTCCTCTGGGAGCTCAGCAACAGTTGTCCTTGTGTTGTTGCTGTCGTCCCTGAAACGTGGCTGTGTCTGTGAGCCGTGGTGGAATCAGCGCTTGTCTACGCAACCACTGCCTGCACCAGGTTTATGTTCTGGGGCAGCTACTTCCACTTCACTAATCCCAGTGATATCTGAATATCAAAATGAGAGCTTGGAGTTACCCCTGTAAAACTAGTCTAGTCCCAGGACAACAGGATTGCAATTTTTGGGAGGGAAAACCTAATGGAATTTACTTTGGTATCTTAGCGGTCTGACATCCCAGCTGCAATTAGAAGAGAAAATTGCATCCTGCATCTAAATGCAAGGGAAGAAAAGTAAAGAAATGGCTTCTCTGAGGGAAGAAAGAATCAGAATTATGCACTGCCTGAGCAACATGAATTATTAAACAGGGATATTCTGGGGAAACAGATACTTGTCAAGAGCCCACAGTACATGGTGTTACTGGAGGGGATCCTTCTCCACAGGAGGTTTGGAGAACGGAGTACCATGTGTGATTAGAAGCTGCATAAACATCACTTAAATATAATAAAGTGGCATTTGTACATTTGTTTAGGTCAAGTTGTTTTCCAGCAGCAAGTACAGGAAAACACAGCACAAGCATGCTGTCAGTGCACTCTGTATGAATTAGGTGGCTTTCCACACCAACAAAGCCTCCCAGCCACACAGTCCATCTTCTCACTGCTGGCAGGCACAAGTTAAAACCTACAGACCAGCTACAAATTATCTAGTGTTCAAATGAAGGGGGGAAGATGAGACTTCTCAGAGGGCTGTGACGTCCCCAGGCCTCCCAAGTGGAGAACAGGCACTGGTGTACATTACCTGACCTCCCAAGGAAAGCCCACTGATTACCCCCTTGTCCTGGCAGCCAAAAGCTGTCATGCCAGAGGTATAAGTCACAGGCTGCCAAGCATAGGCATGGAAGACTGTTTAAATAAAACTCTTGATACCACAGCAATGTACAAGTTCATTACATACTGCTATTTAGAGCAGGTCTAGGAAGCAATGATCTTTACCAATTCAACACATTTGTTTTGGGTAGTGCTTTCTTAACAGCACATAGCTTCCCCCAACAGATGTTTTGTAGGTAAGAGATGGGTGTTTGCTATCTTTGGGCAGGCACAGGGAAGGTGTGGGTGAGCACCACATCTATTTTCAACAGTAGCATCACAACAACTTGATGATAGGCCATCTGATTCCAAGTTCAAAAAGAACTGGGAATCTATGTAAAGCACATAGATAAAATTGGATTCTTAACAGGTACAGCATATTAGAAAGTGCATTTATGGCAGGATAGGAATGGGCCTACAGGGCTGAGGGACGTGACAAGGTCTTTAGGCAGCCCTCTGAGAAGTCCAGGCATAGTGACATTTATAAATCAGTGCTAACGTGCAATTTACAAAGGCCACAAAGCTCCCAAAATCTTTTTGTGTGTAGTAACTATGTGCTATTGACTCCCACTGACAAACTGGACAGACAAAGGCTGGGAGTCATGGACATCTCACAGCAACTGGAACAAGTCCCGTGCCTGGCTCGAAAACACCTCATTACAGCCCTGTCAGGCTTAGAGAGGGGACACCAGTTGTGTACGGCAGCAACCAGAACAGGGGGCAGCACCACTGGCACAGATACAAACCTCAAGGGCAGTAGAAGGAGGTAAAATTCTTCAACAGGACATTTTGAGAGATGCTGGTTTTCCTCTTGGTTCCAAACCTACCCCAGCCTTCCCACTGAAGGCTCTGCCAGAGTGTCCTCGCGGGAAGGAGAAGCATTAGTCAGATTCCCCAAAGCTGCACTGTGTATAGAAGATATAAGCAGTGACTACACAGCCAGGCAATCTGTACGTTTCTCATTCCAGGGTTTGGCAGTGGTGACTAACTGGACTGCAGGGCTGCAGAATGTCACTGAGCAAACAAGTTAAAACAGGAACAAGCTCCAAGGACATGGCAGCAGGGAGGAGATGCACAGAAGATGCTCTAATACCAGCTTTCCATGTACCCTGGGACAGAGAGCACCCAACTCCCAGCCTTCAGCCAGCCTGAGCCACTGCACTTCTCTGCTATTAAAATGCAAGGTCTGACAAACATCATCAATGTGACTTCAGGCCTGGCTACGTCAAAACAGACACTTCTTGGCCATGGGAAGGTTTCTCATAACCCTGTCACCCCCCCAAAAAAACAGCATGCTAACTAGAATTATGCCTTGAACACTTCTCCTTGCCTCACCACAATAATATTCCAGGAGAGGTAGTTGCTCATGACTGTGTGTAGTTGCTAATTTCTGGAGATACAGAAGGCATATAATCTCAAGTGAATGAATACAGCTTTTAGGACTTCAGAACAACAAAAGGCAGGGCGACTGCCTGAAGTGCAGAAGCTAAAAGCTTTTTCCTTCAGAACAAGAAGAGAATCGAGTAATTGTCGTTTCCAAGGAGATGAGGAACTTCAGGGATCAGAGCTCAATCTGCAGTTAAATGGATTGGAAACAACTCCTTACCAGCTGCAGAAAAAACATGGACAGAATCACACAGGAAAATCCAGGGAGAGCATTTTCCTGGCACTGTGCACATGCCTCCACATTTAGGAATGGACAGATCGATTAGTTAGATGATCCAGGTTAGCTGTTCATGAATACTAAGGGAGAAGTATTTCCTGTGTTATCCCTTTCCTCATACATCTCCCTCCCATTCACCTCCCTTCACAGCAAACTCTGACAGGTATTTCAGTTTCCCCCTTTATGGAGAGAGAAACCTGAAAATTCTCTCCCACGCTCCGTAAGTGCAATTCTAAGCAGACCAGGGATGTGAAAAACACCTAAAATAAGATCTTAAAACACTCTTTACAACCTCTCCACAAAGACGTTTCACAGGTGCCAAACCACAAAAAGTCAATGCTTCAACAGGATGCCAGATTCTTAGCTTCTCTCAGGTAAAAAAGCAAACCCCAAGAGTTGCAAAGGATTCTCCAGCATCCCTGATACCTTTGTGAGTGCTGTAGAGGGCTGCAAATGTCACCACGAAGAAGGTGGTGGAATATTTTCCAGCATTAACCAGATGAAAGGCCCGTTTGTTATCACGGTAACGGCGCAGGCACTGGATGAATCGCAACCAAGCAGGGATGCACTGGACGACTGCTCTCACTCCGTAGGAGTAGCTGTTACAAATCTGATTATCTGCAAGTGAAAAAAAAAAAAAAAAAAAAGAGTTAAAACCCATAAAACAAAAAGTTAGTAAGTTTAAGTAACACATCCAGATCATCACCTAACTCTCTCACTGCTGCTAATATAACTAACATGCAAGAATTCTAGAAATAATCTATTTTTAAATGTGTTCAAACTGTTGGCAGTACTGTGAATGATCAAATTAAGGATGGAATTACAAAAGGCTTTCTGACACTGGATTTTTGTGCATAAATGGGAGAGCACTTCAAAACTCTGCAGGACACCTCTAAAAGGTTACTTTGCCCAAGATGTCCTTGACCCATTTTCCTTGTACGTTGTAAGAGGAAAAAACATATTTCAGTATGGGATTGAGTTTGGGGTTTTTTGCTTTGCTTTTAAAAAGCAAACCCAGGCCTGGCTTCAAAAACTGAGATGGGAAGCAACTACGCACCATGTCATTTTGTCACCCCTGTGATGTTTGAAAGCCTTTTTTTGGTTGAGGAAGTGACCAGGAAACTCCCAGCTCTCCCTGGAATCCCCCAAGGAGTCCATATTCTTCTGCTGTCTCACTCTGCACATAAACCAAACACCCTCCTGACTAGCAATCTTATTCACATGTTTCTTATTCACACAAATGGAGACAAATTATTAGTTGATATTTATCTCAAAGCACTGAGCCGTCATTCCACTGTTTGCATTGGAAGAGGACAAACTGCTAGGCTCTCAGTTGCTTTATGTATTTCATTTTGATTTTTAATAAGTAAATATTTAGCTACTTGCAATGCTGTCTTAGAGGGAGGGGAAAGATGAGACAGACTGGAAGAACAAAGTGAACACTGATGCTTATTGAAGCACACAGCAAATTTTCACCAAGTGTCAAAACCATCAGACAACACAATTTGCCAGCATTCACTGCTTAAAATGGAAAGACAACAGCCCAATCCACAGGAAGACAGGTACTGTTTTGCCACTGGGAAAGCCAAAGTCAAAATTTATATTCCAGCTCTGTGGCCCTTCTGGCTAGAAAGAAAGGAAGGCAGAGCATGGACAACACTGACATCACAACATCAACTCAAATTGTATATGGGGTGGTACTAAGGAGATTCTTCCATCCTCTCTTGCTTCAGGGAAGTGCGATGGAGCATGTAAGAACCAGGCCACAGCACAGAAAATTGTGTTTAACAGGCTCAGGCAACTTGTTTTCACACTGAGCAACAGGAACAGGCTAAAGGCAAATATATGGTTAAACTACAATGAAATAAAACAACAATGCCAGGAAAATGGATTTCTCTTTCAAATCAGTGGCGCTGGGTCTATATTCTTGATGAATATACATGTCGGGCCAAATGACTGGATTAGAAAATGAACACAGATGTGAAATTCCACTTCTCTGGATGGAAGTAAGAAAGGGAGAACGTCTCTAATGCCGTGTATACAAGAAATGCCTGTTATTTCAATTTCCTATATCACTTGTAGCCCTCTTCAAAACAGAAAGCAAGTTGCCTTGCTCAGAGTCTTTCAGGTCATTTTGACCATGTTCACATGGGCCATCAGCATTACTCTACCTGTATCTGCCAGAAGTCCAGCATTGTCCTCCCACTGAACCTCAAAGCTGTAGAAGCAGATCATGTATTCCAAATCCATGAGAATCACGACCAAGCTGTTGAGTTGATCAGCCAGCCAGAAATCTGCGAAGCCTACCTTGTGGAAGGGAGCAGTGAACACTCGAAACTGTCAGCGAAAAAAAAAAGCAGGAATAATTCATGGCTGTGTCAAAGGCATCTAAATGCAGCAGCAGGACATCATGGCACTGAACAAATATGGAAATAACAGAAATGCTTCAAGATTTATTGCTGATCTTTCACTTCAGCTGACAAAAATGGATAACTACTTCCTCACTTTTAGCACAAAGAACATTCCTGTTTTCCTCCTCCTGTATGCATATATTCTGCGTCTCCCACTTTTTTGGTTTTTACTGGCAGAACAGCCCAGTCTCCTCCAACCAAGCTCTTTCCCAGAAACTTCCAGTCTCCATGTAAGAGCTCTATACGGCTCTGTTTCTCCTGTCACTCCTCATTTTGACCAGCTCTTTCTTTCAGGCACTTACCACATTATTGACATCTTCCACACTTACCTTCTCCCTCACACTTAATGTCCATTCAATTTAGAACTTCAGCATGGCTACTAGTGTGACCATGCCTCAGTTTACTAAACTCACCAGTCATTCTTTGGTGTTAGAAGTTGTAAAAGTGAGGATTGTTACTGGATCTGCCAATGCCTCCAGCAGAGAAAGAGTTAAAGAAAAGGTAGAGGAAATCCTATTGACTGGCAGTTGGACTCCCCCTCAATACCAAGCCACTTTTCCTCTAAGCCTTAACAGCAGTTTTGCTCCTTCCAAACCAGACAGTTTTCATGCTCCATTACCTTTGATTACAACTCTCCCTACCCGGTTAGTTATAGTTACTAATGGCCAATATCTCACAGAGACAGCACCAGCACCATCCGGTCATTCCAAGATTTATGAACCTTCAAATTAATGAAAGCACAGGCTAACACTGATCTTTTATGTTGCTCTCCTTATTAACCTAAAGGGTGCACTGCTCCAGAAATCCAGGAAAGGACTGAAACGTTCCCATCAGCCTGTAACGCAAATTTAAGGCTCTGCTCCTAAATTTCAAAGCCAAATGGGGGACTAAGAGGTAGTGGCATAAAGAATATATGGATCTTGACCCAGAAAGCACAGTGCTCGTGTTGGATGGCACCTATTCCCAAGACTCAAACAGGGCCAGCCATCAGGGAAGACCGTCTTTGAAAGCACCCAGCTGCAGAACAGCTTCTGCAGAGGTCACAGACCTCACCAGCCTTCTTTTGCAAAAGGCCCTTCCTCCCTTTTCCCATCACTCCCTGATACTCTCTTTATCTGTTCATCATAGACCCTTTTTTCCCCATGAACAAAGACTAAACAAAGGAAATGTGAAAACAGCTTTACAGACAGATCTCCCTGGGGAAAAAAAAAAGAGGAAAAATAATATAATCCTTGTTGTTATTTAATTTAGGGAGAGGCACTTCAGCACTGCCAGAGAACAGTGCAAAACTTTTAAGAGAGTAGAAGCTTTTCACCTAAAGGTTATGGCAGAGCAGGAGTCAACAGATACGTCCACGACATATCTGGCATTGGCATCTTGGGTTAACTATCCTTCCGAGCTGCCATTTGAATCCTCCTAATGTCAGGTACCAAGGACTGGGGCTTCTGGATGCTGTCCAGGCACAGCTGGAGCTGCAGCCCAACTTCTGCAGCGCTGGCAGTGAAGGTACCACAGGTACCTCCACACTTCCCAGCTCAGAATCAGTTGCAATCCTATATCAACAGTTCCACAACCTGAGCACAGACTTCCCTGGTGCTGATCACTGCACTTTGAATCAGTGCTGAGATGGCAGATATTTGAGCTGGAGCTGAACACTTCCTAGATTTTCACCTCTCGCAGAGAGGCTCCCTGCACTTGTGTCACCACTCAGCTCCCCGCAGAGAGTGTGGGCATGTGGACACTGTGCCATTCCCTATGGTCGGATCCAATTCCTCTTGGCAAGCTGCTCTCCTCAGCCCACACAAGGGCACTCATGGGCTTCTCACCCAGCAGCAAAGAGAAAAAGATCGCTCACCTAAGCATGTAGGTGAGAAAGAAGAGCCTGGGATAGGAATTAGACTCACTGTGGGCTAAATAACTTTTTTCACTCAGAATAGATTCAATTACGATGTAATTTACCATCCCTCAGGGATTAGCACAAGAGATCCCACTCAGGAGCAACAGCAGGCTCTGATATTGATCACAGTAAGCCTCCTAGATCCACAAGGAAATGCTACAACACAGTAAAGTATGACCCTGACTCGGTTTTAGAAAAATGAAGGTGCCAGTAATGCTCTGCCACACCTGATGTATCAGACTTCGTTTTGGCTGGGAATGAAACATATGAAGCATGTGAAGAAAAATGCTCACTAAACGAAAATTTGCGTGAGCAGCACAGTTCTCACACTTGCATTATTTAAACCTCCTTTCACCCAGAGAGCTGCTGGCAACTGTGTGGAGAAAAAAAATACACCTAGCAGCCAATAAGAGCTGCTCTTTAGGTGCTTTGTCTGGCCTATTTTTTCCCCCCTTCCTCCTTCCACATAACACACAGAAGTACTGTGTCATTTCCCACCATTAAGGTGATCTTGCATTTTGAAGAAGCTTTTTTTTCACCCCAAGAGACCTTGGGATGAATTGGCCTCTGCATACTCAAAGGTATTCAATGAACCTTATGGGTTCCCTTCCAACTCGAGATATTCTATGACTCTGAGAGTATCTATTGACTAATCTAATCTGTATCAATCTGAGACACTAGTTACAATGATATGAACTGACAGAACAAGGGAGAATGGCTTCAAACTGAAATAGAGGAGGTTTAGATTAGCTATTAGGAAGAAGTTCTTCCCTGTGAGAGTGGGGAGGCCCTGGCACAGGATGCCCAGAAGGGTTGTGGATGCCCCATCCCTGGATGCTTAAGGCCAGGTTGGACGGGGCTTGGAGCAACCTGGTCTAGTGAAAGGTGTCCCTGCCCATTGCAGTGGTGTTAGAACAAGATGATCTTTAAGGTCCCTTCCAACCCAGGCCATTCTATGATTCTACAGCTCTATCACAGACTGCAGTACAGTCTGGAGAACGCTGGAACAGAGTAGGTGCTGCAAAGTGCCTACACAGCTCTGGGTACACTGAGAATCTCACCCTGGTAAGGTATTAAGGTAAATTAGCACAGATATTAATAATAATGGCCAGTCTTTGCGAGTGAAGATCGGGGGAAGGTCTCTACACCTTCCAGCCTGCGCATTGGATTTTTTAGGTGAGACACAGTGTGCGCGGAACTGAGCCCACCCTTTAATCCTAAGGTTCATCTGCCGGGGCCAAGCGAGCTTGGACGGTGGCAGCGAGGTCCTCAGGATGTAGATGGGTTGCCTTTTTAAGGGCTAACCAGCTCCATCTGCCCAGGGAGCGTCCCTGACCTGGAATCGAACCCGGGTCTCGGCGGTGATAGCGCCGCGCCCTTAACCACTAGACTACCAGGGGCTCCCAGCACAGATATTACTCATATGGTTAAAGAATTCCAGTGCTTCCCCTCACACCAGGGGACAGCAATCAGACTAATGAGGCTTGGGACTAAAGGTACATCCATGAGGGATGGCTGAATGCTGGAACGCAAAAAAGGAAAAACTAAAATAGTGGTAAGCCAGCAAATCAAATAACAGAGGTTAATTCACTGTGTGTGTACCTGCACACACAGCCTCAAAGCATGACTCTACATTTCATCTTTGCCATGTTCTAGATAAAGTTAACTGTTTTAACTGGCATTAAAACAATTCTATGAAGAACACCAGCCAGCCAAACCCTTTTCTGCCTGAAGTTCTCAGAGCAGCTCCAGGAAAAATAAGGTATCAGGGGAACCAACTTGATTAAAATCAATTTAAAAGGACATACAGGGTGGGGATGAACATCTGAAACAGCCATTTGGGAAGAAAGTGATGAGTCATCCAACAAGTTTGAAAACTTCTTTTTTCAGAGCTCCCACTTGTAACTGGAACACTGAGGCAGCACATGTATTTACATTCAATTTACCAGACTTATCTGAAAAATAAGACCTGGGTCTAAAATAAAGACTTTAACACTACAAATAGATTTGCTGAAAAAAAAATCCATCCATGAACATAATTTTACAAGCAGTAGCCTTTGCAAAGGTTGCCTCTCCATCAGTGAACCCTCTCTGCCAGCTGGAGCTGAGGAGAACTCATGCAGCCTTGCCTTAGAGCACAGGAGCCCTAATCAAACTGTTTCACTGCATTAGGGAACAAACAAGTCAAGAATGTCTCTACATGTGCAGAAGTCTGTATACAGCTATCTATAGGAAGATTAACACAATGAGACTGACACAGAAAGCAGAAGATGCTTCTGTAAATCCATCCTCAAAAACTATTTGCAGCCAACACCTGATCAGGTCTGCTCTATAAAAACATAGTGGTATAAGCATCCCAGCATTCCTCTTCACTGAAGATTAGTGATACCTGTATATACTTCACAGCTACTGCTCAGCCACAGTTGGTTTCTTTATTTTAATTATTTAAAGAAGGTTTAGAGACTTACCAATAGTTTGAGTAGCCAAAATCGGGACTTGTAATATAAGGTTTTGGTAGGGTTGATGAGAAAAAGCAACATGAAGCCGTACAAGATAAGTGGATTCACCTGCATAGGGATGTAGGTGAATTTACCATATATACATGCCAGCAGGCTCAGGCACCACAAAACGCCCAGGAAACCAGCAATCTACAAGGAAAAAAAACAAACCACACAGATACCTTATGAAAATACAGTTCTGAAACCTACAATGAAGTCTCATTATAAGAAAAGGGAGAGCAGTGCTCAATCCTGTAATCTAATCAGACTTCAGCAACTTCCTCTTCTAATTGTATTAGAGCTCCTTGCCAGGAAACGGCGCAGGGTTTATCCTTCTGATATGCTGCACAGCTCAGCCACTCTTACAATCCCTCTGTTTACCTCAAAGAGATGTTGATGGGACAAGTTGCTGCGGGGATTGAGTTCGAAGATGAGGACGTGATTGACTCCAGCCTGTCTCCAGCCATAGGTGTTGATACCCAGGAGAAAGAGGAATTCTATCAGGAGAAAGCCACCTCGATAGATTCTCACCAGTGGCCACACATTTGGTCCATCTATAAAAGCCACACCTGACAAAGACAAAAAAAGGAAGGACCTTAGGGATAGCAGAAGGCACCTCACATTGTGCTCCATAGCTTTTTACTGGTTCTTACATGAGAGAAAACAGAGTACACTTGTATAAAACTGCATATTCCAGCAAGTGGAGGAGTGCCTAGCCTGTCAGAGAATTTAGGAGTATCCTGGGGAAAATTCCCTCTCCAGCTGGTGTAATCGAGTCATGAGCAGCGTCCCTGCCTCACATTACAGGCACAAGCGTCAGCACCAGCATAAATCCGACTATATGCACTTAAATATTCTGGTTTAATAGAGATGAAATCCCAACAGACAGATACACAAAACACTTCACCTCCCCACAAAACCAAGAAGCACAATTTACGGCATTTAAAACAACGCTAATCTGTGCCTAATCACGGAACTCAATACAAAAGGTGATGCAATACATATTCATAGCCAGCCATACAACACTCAGCCGCACCCAAACAGAAATCCCAGCCTAAGGCAGCACTGCTGGAAAGCCTGTTGCTTTCTTTGTTCAGTCTTAAGGGGTTTGGAAGAGAATTTGCTTCATTTCAGAAAACAAATTGCCTCATAGAGCAGCAACTTTATCCAGCACAAGTCTCTTTGCAAAGTACTGTCCTCGAGTTGCCTATACAGGTTATGAGAAATAACACAGTTATTCGAATCCTCAGTCTTTGTTTCAGTGAGAGTTTCTCAGCCACATATTTTCTTAAGAGGGTTAAAAAGAAGAACATACACTTTTACAGAGTTGAGGCTGAGAATTTTTTTCCCCTTAAACCTGCCTGTCTAAATTACAGCCCCAAGTTCTTCAAACTGTTTTTCAGAGACAGCATATCCATAAGGAATTTCACGTGTTCAGCATCTATACTTTAGACTATATAAATTATGGAGAAAAAATTGTGAAAGGAACAAAGGCTCAAGAACTGTTGCTTTAAATTTGAAACTTATAGAAACCACTGGATTCAGACAAAGCAGAATCAAATTTTGGACAGAAATTACATGCCCCCAAAGAAGGTGAAAGAAATGAGTCTTAAATGTGGAACTGCAAAAGCAGCTTTCCAAATTTGAATCTGGAAACCAAAGGAGATCACAGAATCATAGAATAGACAAGGTTGGAAGGGACCACAGTAGGCCATCTGGTCAAAACTCCAAACAGGACAGAGTTGCCTGAAAAATCCTGACTAAGAAGTGACCAGAGAGATATAGCCAGATATAGACAGATATAAGGAGAACACACCAACAGGATAGACCTGCTGTGTGCTACTTCAGACAGAACACCCAGACAAAGGTTTCTCCTGAGGTGAACAGGGTTCAGTATGACAGTACAGCATATGACTTCCATAGCTAATGCCCACTAATCTTATTTCTGGCCTCTCAGGGCAGTAGAGGACCACAACTGCAGTGTGGAACAGCAGCTGGAGAAAAAGCAGACACTGAGGAGTACAAGCTGCTGAGAGACCAAACCGCAGAAGTTATGAGTATTTCTGTATATTCTTTCATCTGATACTAAGACATTGTCTAGTTCGGTTTCCACAGTGTAAAGGCTTGATTTGATTCCCTTTTCACTTTTCCAAACTGAACACTTTTCTTCCTAAGAGTTGAACAGTTTGAGTGAAGACCCCCTCAAGGACCCCAATTGCAGGGAAGTGCCCAAAGGTGTCCAAGGTCTCCAACTGTGGTGACCCAACCCATAGCTCTGAACTGCAGCCCCAAGGCAAAGAGTTTGTCCATTCCTATACTCTCTCCACTTAAATCCAACACAAGTGAAGTCACCTCCTGCCATTGGCAGGGATGTGACACTCAACCAGCTCATCCCTTCAGCCAGCACAGGCTCTGCAAAAGGTGCTCAGAGAGGAAAACACCTCTGGTGACAAGTTCAACAGCATCATAGCCTACTTCTCTAGCAAGAGAAGGGCACTGCTGCTGCAAAGGACTTGAGAGTTTGCATGAAACCTTACAGGTTTCTGGTTACTAAAACAAATGCTCATTTCCAGGAACCTCAATTACACACTAGTTTGGCACCCAGGAAAGCCCATACAGAAACAGTGAGGCCTCAAAATTTGTCCTCTTTAGGGTGACTCCCTCCTGGGATCCACCTGCAGCATTTGCAGCCTTTAACAGATGCCAAGTTATGAATTCATCACTGTGAAATATTGCTGCTCGAGCTTTCAAACCAGGCAATACAGCAGTGGGTCACTAATAGAAGCCATGTTCTGATGCTGTTTCACAGAATCTACACATAGAACACTAAAATCCTATCTTAGCTGATCAAATCATAAAAATAATTCAGCAAAAGCAGCTGAGAGGTTAACAAAGTGTAAGACGATTAAAAGCAAACACTTAGGAGTCAGAATCCAGGTTTTGTCCCATATCTGTAGTAACGCAGAGCTATCAGACCATGCCTGCTGATACAACACACTGGGTTAGTAACACCTGCTTTACACAGATATATAATCATTTTTGTGAATTCCTTCTCACAACTGTGGCACCTTTTTAATTCTTAACAAAGAAAGCAAACACAACTGGTTTTGATCATATTTGCATCTCACAGAGGGATGAAACATTTAAGTAACAGATTTCTGTTACTTAAATGAATAAAGAACAGCTTCTACACATTAAACAGCCCCTTCATGTAGATGGGTCAACTTTTTGTCTCTACCACTGGAAGACCAAATGGAAAGCACTGCAAACAGCTCCTCAAACAGAGGCATTTTATCCCAAGAGATGGCTGGATCCAATTACAGAAACATCCGATTAAAAATTCTTTTAAGTCAAAAACACAGACATGGGCTTTCCCTAATGCAAGAGCTCGTAAGTTGATTTGTTAAGCCTTTTCCTTTGTACTGCTTAAGTAAGTTACAACACTACAGAAATCACACATACAATTAGTAAAGCCGCTTGTGATTAAGCACTGTGTCTGGATCTACAGTACTAATGTGGCTCTTGCTCTAATCAGAGGCCAAACTCAGAAGGCACAGAGCAGAATAAGGCCAAGACCTGAGGTACGCAACAATTTATTGCAGCTTTTAAACAATCTTGCCAGCATCTGCCAACAAGAAAAATTCAGTTAATTCCATTAATAGGCATCAGGCATTGAAATCCTAGGAATTTCCAGATGAAAATGTCACGAGTGCCATGTGCTCACGTGGCTCTGTGTCTGGTCTTGTTCTCTGTAGGGAGTCAGTGCCATGGAAAATTTAAGTTCTACAAGCACCTGTCTCAAGGTGGGCGAGGGCTGTGTGTTTATGGCAGGGAACAAACATCCGTCTTTTCACACAGATGTTGCACCCTCAGAATATCCCTCAAAGAATAAGGAGAACACATCATAACATGTACAAAATCCACATACCTAACATGAGACAAGCCACAACCTGCTACTGAGCGGAACTAATAATTCACACCAGAGTGATCCAGCTCTGATTTAACCCAGAACGCCCTGAACTGCCCAGTTCAGGTCCAGGCCCTCATTGATTGATGAGAGTACATCCAAACCAAGGTATGGCAGGATACCCACCTGAAAGTACGACAGTGACGTTCAGTGCAATGAACAACCCACAGAACAATCCAACCCTGAATGTAGTCCAGGCTGGTACAGGCTGTGAACAAAGCAGTGGCAGAATTAACATGGGGTGAACAGGTTATCAGCAAACTCAGATTAGTTTGCAGAGTAAATTTAAAATCAGAAATACAATGCCCTGGTCCCTGATTGCCCTCTTGCTCTTGAAGTGAGGTTTTTTTAAACTGAAAATGCTGTATAATATTCTTGCTGTGTTGAAACTGGGCTTGGGTATCTCAATGCCCTTTGAAAAATATTCCAGACCACACAAACACTAAGCATATATTATTATTAGCACAAATTTCCTTTCACTGTTTCTCATCCCTTCATTACCTTGTCTGCATGCATTAGGAATAGTAACCTATTTCCAAACCTTCCGGAACTAAAGCAGATTATGTGACCATGCTGACCTCACTGGGTGCATGAGCACGCTCACATCAATTACTTTCACTACTTTGTTGAGATGTTGAGTCTAATTTGGCACCTTGACAAGCTGGAGAAGCAGCTTTGTTCCACAGCCCCATCTCTCACCTGAGCTGCTCCTAAGGGTGGAACACGCAAACGTTTCATTGCCTTCTGTCTGTCTCCATCTTCCAACTCATTGGTCACCACTTCCTAAGGAGATAAAAAATACATACCACTGAAGTTCATTTGAATGATGAGCGTGTGGTAATGCACTAAAACAAAAAATAATGATTGGTTTCCATGTTTCACGGAACCCTAGCCCCGTACTCCTTTAATACAGAGTAACAAAGACACGAAAAACTCACTCTGCTGCACCAAGTTCCTACACAATACAAACTAACACTGCACTAACTTTTTCAAGGGAAGAGTTACCAACTGAAGAGAACATACCCAAATTTATGTAAGAAGTGCCTGAAATCCGTGGCACTTCAAAATCCATTATCAGGTAGTAAATACAAGCTATACAGAGGGCAAAACATTATAGAAATTATAGAATCATAGAACAATTTGGGTTGGAAAGGACCTGAGAGATCATCCAGTTCTGCAATGGGCAGGGGGACACCTTCCACTAGACCTGGTTGCTCAGAGCCCCATCCAACCAGGCCTTGAACACTTCCAGAAACCAGCAGTGAACAAAACCCCATGGTTTTCTAGTTACTAGAGGAGCAGTGCCCAGAGCAGCATCTTTACCTCTGTTTCAGAGATGAGCTGGTTGATCTTCTTGCAGGTGTAGAAGGGGGCCACCTCCACCTCCGCCACCCTCCACTCCGCCCCCCGGGCTGTCTCCAGGTTCTTGTCATGTTTCTTCAGGATCTTGCGGAAGCCAGTGAAGTTCAGGTTCTGCAGGCAAGGGAAAATACACGCTGCTTTTAACCTCAGTCAGCTCCCAACAAAGTTCAGTGGTTCTCTCTCCAGTGCAAGCAAATAAAGGAATATTTAATAGGAAGAATCAAAATTATTACATCCATTGTCAGGAAGTGTCAGAGTTATTACTTTGTTATAAGTAATACATATTCCTTCTAAGTAAAATAAAATATGGGGGACTCAAGGGCATAAAAAGAGGCAACTTATTTCCAGGGAGCTACCTGAACCCTTTTATTCCCTGAAAAGCCAGATCACTACCATTTTCCTCCTTTATGCAGGACATGACAACATTCCTGATGACACCTTGAAGAGAAATAACCTTCAAGGGGTTTTCCCTTCTGAAAAGGCTGAGGTACTGACTCCTTGTTTCTTTAAACTTTACACTGGTTTCAAATCAAGTCCTCTAGATCATGGAAGGGAAATCTTTGCACAAAAAATGTCAGCGCTGCATGTTAAATCCAGACAAGTGCATCCCCACAGCAGCATCCTTTTACATGGAGTATGTTGCACTATGACTAAAACAGCAGTTTATAGGCTCGCAGATGTGGGAGATGTAACTCTCCAGTCTGCAGAGATAAGCACACAAAGCTTAAACCAGGAATTAACTGTTGATTTACAAGTTATATACAAGCCCTGACTCCACTTTTCCAACGCACAGTACCCAAGACAGGTAAAGTTCATCACACTGCAGACAACTGCTGCCACATGATGTATTTGCAATCCTGTACTTCATTATGCAGGAAACTCCATCCGGAGACCCAACATTTCCTTCAAGCAAAAGCAGAAATGCAGAGGGATCATGGTAAGATTCACTTCCGAAAAAAGCTTAGCGTAGCTTGGAAAGAAAAATGTAGAAAACAGCAAAATCCAGTGCCCTGGGGAGAGGCACCAACTACTCACTGATATTATTTTCAATCTAATTATGCTTAGGGTGATTTAATACCAGACCCCTCCAAACTAGGTGGGGAAATGAGGCTGGGGAGACAGGCTCAGGAAGCCGAAGCATTAACGATCTGCCTTACTGCAGACATGAGACTTTAATTACTTTCTACTGGAAAAGCCAGCATTCCACCCCAGGGAGAGCAGAAATTTCAAATGAAAAACCGCACCAAAATGATGATTTTGGTCAGATTTTTTTCTGTGGCCTGAACTAACATCCTTTCATCTCCATGGGTGCAAACTCAGACTAACTGTGAGGTGCCTTGGTTAGTCAGGATATGGTTACACCAGACACCCTAAAACCTCTCCGGCAGAATTTCATGCTCTGGCTGCAAAAATTCTGCAACTCCAAAGTGCATGTTAAAAGTACTGTTGTCCACAGTGGTACTTCAGACAGGGAACATGCAGTGATGGAACTATGAAACAGAACAAACATCACTTATACAGTCAGATATTTTGCTATTCTTGCTATTTGTGTTGCTTTTATTTGGCAAGGGACTTACCCCAAGCCTGACCTCCGTTTCTGTTGGGTAACAATCAAATCCACTTAAGTGGAAAAAAAAACCAACAAAAAAACCCCCAAAACCAAACCAAACCAAACCAACAAAACAAAAACCCCACACAAAACAAAACAAAAAACCCCAAAACACACAAACAAAAAACCAACAAAACACCACAAAACAAATACTACAATTTAGGCAATAATATAATACAAGATCAAGTAGAATCAAACAGTGGACTCAAAAGTCCTTTCTCATATACAAGTGTGTCAGAAATTACATATATTTACATATATACATATATCAGAAATTACATATAATTACACTACATTACATACAGAATATGCAACTAATTATTATATACTTAATTTCTCAATGTGTTTCTCCTAAACCACAGTATTTCAAATAAATAGATTTATTTATCTCTGTACACACATCCAGAATGTTATAATACTGTCAACAATAAATTAATTTCATCAGAAGTTTAATGTATTTAACTTATTAATGATTAAGAGCCGCCCTGGAGATTAGTTATAGTTTCACCTGACGCTTGGTTTGTGTAGCTCAGGAATGAATGCATGAAATCTGTGCTCTTGTTCAGTCCTGATAGAGAAATTTGCTTCAGGTGCATTTTCCTTCCTTAGTAACCCAACTCAAGGCATCTGTATTTCATCAAAGCCATAGTTTGACATTTATAATGCTGCTGTTGACTTGACTTTCCCTCCTACACGAAGATCTCAGCTACATCGTCTTCCCACCAGGTTGTTGTTTTCTCTTCTTTCCAAAACTGTAAGATCTGGAATATTTCTAGTTCTTATATTCTAAGCTCAAGTCTGATTAAGAGTAGTATTCTGGGACTTAATTTTACGTCTGTTTTAGTACTTGCATTCCTTGTCCTTAACTTCAAGACCAATTTGAAGGATTTTTTCTCATTCTCTCTTTGAAGGTATGTTGTAGAAAGCAGCTGCAAACTGTGAAAACTATCAAATCCAGATGGGGCTTAAATCAATATTTAGTATACCTATAGTAGATCTGGACTTAAAATGTCAAAAGTCCAAAAATATAAGTATGCAAGATGCCTTTCTTCACTGATGAATAGCAGGGAAAAGATTTCCAAAGGAATGACCTATGTCATCCCCCTATTTAAACTCTTCATCATGCCTCAGAAGCAATTTTTTGTAATCAAAAGTATGAGCTGTCTTCTTTTTAAAAAGAAAATAAATGAAAAAATCATTGCAGGTGATAGTGCTTCACTCCATTTCTGAAAAGCTATAGAAACTCCACCTTTCACAGGATTTTGAACTAGGAACTATCACTAATAGTTAAAGAGGATTAAGAAACCCATCAATAGTTTTCAGACACGTGCTCAAGGACATAACATCACCTTAGGAGAGGTACAAACACTCAGAATTTTGGGGCAATAAGTTTTGTCCATACTGCAGAGTGGTATTCAATTAATTCTTATAGTGAATTTTGTTTAATGAAATTCTCTGGTACAATGCTGGTAAAGATCTAAATACAGACGTAGCGAATTTAAGCTCCAGCATTCTAATTTAACAAGCTAAAATGCCTCAAAGAAAACACCTAAAAGCATTTCAGAGTATTTAATTCCAGAACAACTACCCCAGAAGAAAAGATATTAACAGTTTCAGATTTTTATTTCAAGATTTTTGGAACTAGATCAGTATCTGCAATATTTACCATGCCAGAAATCCAAGTACAACTAAATATTTGGGTTTTTTTTTCATACCTCAAGGCAAATGAGCCTGTATCCTGTGGGAATCAAAATATTATTTTTTTTTAAATGGATGTTTTAACAAGAAATTCTGATACAGCAAGGTCACAGCCACTACCATGGTAACACCAAGAGGAAAAAGTACATGAGGATTTCAAGTTTCATTACAAATATTAGATAAAAGAACTTCTTCCCCAACTTGCCTGCTCCATCCTTGCACAGAACAACACACTAGAGAAGAAGGAGGTCCCAGTGTGACCTCATGTTCTGGCCACGAGTGCTGGGGTCAGACAGCCCAGAAAAGGAAGAAATAAGGTTCTTTTGCAGGTCAGCTTAGCACTTCTAGCTCAATAAAAAGCAACCAGACTTAGGCTGCAAGGCATCTGCCTTTGCTTTAAAAGTGTTCAGGGGCCAACCAAAAAAGGAAGGAAGAAATAAAAAAAATGACTTGAATGAGACAACTCAAGGATACACAAAGCACAGGGACATTTACAGAGAAGGCTTTGTAAAACCGCCTCTTTCTGCAGGTACCTGATAGTTCTGCAGGAGGATGAGGCTGAGGTAGAGCTCACTGAAGGCCAATTTCAGGTCTCTGATATTCCTGTGCTGGACACGCTCCTCGTGGGACAGGTGGAAGACGGGCTTTCTGCGCCGCTGCAGCGTGGAAGCCCCACTGGCTTCTTTCTGTGCATCCAAAGTGGATTGTAGCTCAGTCCGGAGAGTGGTGAACCTGCGCTGAGCCTCGGCAAGCTTTTCTGTTGGCAAGAGGAGGGAAATGTCAGCTGGGAGGGTCACAATTCGCCTATCAAGCCCTAAAATGACTACACCTATTCCTCAAACGATGTGCCTGTGCATAGCCTTCCCCCATCACACATTAAGTTCAACACCTCTGTATATTTCTCTTCATACAGAATAGAATCATGGAACTGCTTGGTTGGAAGGGACCCTAAAGAACCTAAGGAACCTTCAGTTCCAACCCCCTGCCATGGGTAGGGACACCTTCCACTAGACCAGGTTGCTCCAAGCTCTGTCCAACCTGGCCTTGAACACTTCCAGGGATGGAGCAGCCACAGCTTCTCTGGGCAACCTGTTCCAGTACCTCCCCACCCTCATAGGGAAGAATTTCTCCCTAATATCCCATCTAACCATGCCCTCTGTCAGGGGAAAGCCCTTTTCCTGTCACTCCATGCCCCTGTCCAAAGTCTCTCTCCAGCTCTCTTGGAACCCCTCTAGGCACTGGAAGGGGTTCTAAGGTCTCTCTGGAGCCTTCTCTTCTCCAGGATGAACACGCCCAACTCTCTCAGCAGAGATGTTCCAATCCTCAGAGCACCTTCGTGGCCTCCTCTGGACCCGCTCTAATGGGTCCATGTCCTTCTTGTGCTGAGAGCCCCAGACCCTGATGCTGTAGTCCAGGTGTGGTTTCACAAGGGCAGTGGAGGAAGCTTCTTCTCATTATTATTATGGCCAGTCTTCGCGAGCGAAGATCCGGGGAAGGTCTTTACACCTTCCAGCCTGCGCATTGGATTTTTTAGGTGAGACACAGTGTGCGCGGAACTGAGCCCACCCTTTAATCCTAAGGTTCATCTGCCGGGGCCAAGCGAGCTTGGACGGTGGCAGCGAGGTCCTTAGGACGTAGGTGGGTTGCCTTTAAGGGCTAACGAGCCCCACCTCCCCGGGAGTGGCCCTGACCGGGAATCGAACCCGGGTCTCGGCGGTGATAGCGCCGCGCCTTTACCACTAGACCACCAGGGGCTCCGTTCTTCTCATTAAACCAATGTAAAACATTCATGTTCTCAAAAGAAAAGCTCTTAATTAATATGGTCAAAATCAAGGATCTGTCCCTTCAGCACAGACTAAAGCAGCACTAGACATGAATTCAGATTTCTCAGCTTGAATCCCAGCTTTGATTTCTAGTGGTTGCTCAGTCCAGGACCACACAAATACCTGTTATAGGTGGAAGAAGCCCAACCTGTACCTGGGGGCTGCAAACCAGTGCAGGGACACTGGGACAGGCCTTCCCAAAGTGGCAGAGCCGTGGCTGGAGGCAGCCAGGAGATAGGGTCTCATCCAAATACCAAAGCAGTGACCAAATGTCTACTCTACGAGCGCAAAGGAAAGCTGCTCGTCTTTCCCAAATAAATCAAGTTCATGAGAAGCATCAGAAAAAAACCCTGCTAGACAATATTATGAAACTTGACAGTAAGCAAAGCGCTTTTCATATCCATGCACCCACTACTGACTACGTGTTTACCATCTTTTTATGTGACAGTAAGGAAATCAAAAGAAGAAAAACTCCACACTTCAAATGTGACACTGAATTTTGTTGCTCAGAGAGCAACCCAACCCCTGCGCCAAGTTCCTGGTGACAGACAAACACAGCTCTGCTTTGATCAGGAGTTACAACACTAGTAGCTGCTGTACATGATCTGCTGTAATAATTCATCCCTCTTTCCCTCAGTTTAGAAGCACTGCCTTGTTATTTACTGGTTAAAGAGACAGTCATCCTGCATTTAAATATCATTTTGTTGTGTTTTCAGGACAAGTCTGTCTCTCTGCTTCACACCTCAAGTACGAAAAAGGTGTTCCTTTAAATATGCTGCTTTATGTACTTTCAGAAAATAATATTTTTGGCTGAATAACCATCTTTTAAAGCTAAAACCAGCACAACTTAACACCGCTATCATTCTCTTTGTTCTGTACAACTGGTTCCTTCCAGGTTTTTTTTCCCCTGCTACGGCTTCAGTCACAGCTTTGGCATCTGTGTTGATAAGCACTGTCATGGGCCGCGGGTGTTGGTGTTGGCCAGGAAGATCCTGAACAGGTTCACAGTGTTGGAGCTGGAGCCACCCCTACCCAGCAGGACACACACCACAAACCACGGAGCCACAAGGTCCCTCTGCCACCCAAAGCTCTGGTGGACAATCAAGCCTGTCAATTTAATTCTCTTCATTACTATCTTTAATAACAACTTCTCTATTGCTCCCCCCTCAGATGTAAGACTTACTCTTCCTTTTCCTTTGTCTTATTCAATTCTGGTTAATTTTAAGGGCAAAACTACTCTGTAAATAATTTTATAGTGTTCTGTACTCTAGGAGGAGAACGCCTTTCCTAACAGAAAATGGGGGTCAGTATAGAAAACTTGAGTACGAAAGAGCCTGAAACTTTCTATAACTTTCTTGCTTATATTAAAGAAGATTCAAAATGCAAGACAGGACAACCACTCGCTGACAACTTCCACAGCTGCAAGGACTCCACTGAACAGAGGCAATGGAGCTCACAGTGAGAACTGTCAGCCCACAGCCCAGAACCACATAATATTCAACACACACAAGATCAGACTGCAAAAACAATAATCTCTCCCCACTTTGGGAACTCTCTTGGGAATAAGTAATAAATATCTGTTCATATCAGAAACCTTCATTATAAATAAAACAAGTTCACTCTCTATGTTCAAAATGTCTATTAAACCATCTGTGATACACAGATTTCTTTTGGATCAAATTAGTAAATATGGAAAAGTTTAAATTTTCATCTTACAACTGAAAACACTGTGCTGTTGTCTCTATGTCCAGAAAAATCAAGAAATCCATCAGTCTAGTAACACAATATTTAAAGAGAAGGCAATGTTTTGAAACAGTTATAAAACTGCTGCTGCAATTTTCCTCTGTTTAGAAAGCAACATCCCTAAGAAAGCATTATCTCCAAATATCAACATTCTTCTTAATTAAGCACTGTTGAAGAGAGTCACTGCTGTCTGCTATACAGCTCCCTCCATCCATAGGCAGGACCACAATTCTCTGAGGATGACGCTTTAAAGGCAACTACCCCAGTCCCATAATGATCTGCCACTCCTGAGAAACAGCCATCCTGTCACCACCTTCTCCCTCTTGCACTGACTCCAGTTATCCAGTCCAAAAATCATTTCGTCTTATTAAGGTATGTTTTTTATTATGAAGATTCAGTGCAGAAGCAAAACAAGACCAAGTGTGTGCTGCTTAAAACCTCCAAGGGAATTGCCTTGAGAAACAAAGTAAAACAAATTAATTTCTCAGGTTGCACCATACTCTGAAGTAATCGAATAGACATCCACCGCCACCACTATCCACTACTATCTATCGTTAATTTAGCACTCCAAAAAGTGACTTTAAAGGAAATGTCACTCAAGAGAGTTAGAAAAAACCTTAGACACTGGTACCACTCGTGTTGCAGCATTTTGTGTGACCTGATTCCCACCAAGCCCTCAGCTCAAGTGTAATTTCACAGCAAAGACAACGGAGAAATTCAAAACCAGTGGAGGCAGACTTCAATGTTGCAACAGAGGCAGCAATAAAGAAGCAGTTTTACCCAAAAAACATTTCTAGATCCTATCTAAAAGAGGTTGATTTTGACTCCATTTTCCAAGTTTAAACAAAAGTTCACACACAAGTATGACGGGAAAAAACTATTACACCAAGGAACCAGTAAAATCTCCCCCTAAATTCCAGTTCAGATGGTCATGGTTGTGATCAAAACCTGTTTCACCAGACAGGAGTTAATCAAACAGGTCCCCAGCTCAGGGCATTTTAGGCAGGTGCTTTTAGGACTCCTTCCCTTCCCTACTTGTGCATATTATGCTCGTATTTTGCTTACTAAGTTAAAGCCATGGTTTTCTACAAATAGTAAAACCATTCCTAAATTAACCACAAAAATTTTACTGCCTACTGTTTAGCCAGATCCTGATGATGCTAATTTAAAATATAGCAAACCTGTCATCTAGAAAATCCCAAACCCAAATCAAAATTGGCCACAAATAAAACTTCAGCACTTGAACAGGCATTCCTCTTCTGGAACCACTGAAAACTGTACAGCCATTCTTTTTTCTTTCAGTTAAGGGTAGATCTTCTTGAGCATAGTTCAAATAATCACAAATTGTTTGCCATTAACTAAATCAGATTTGATGGTTTTCCTTTCTACTGAGCTGGGGTAATGGTCTGGGGAATTAAGGCGATGTTTGGTGGGAGCTGACAAGTTGAGCACACAGGGAAAGGCAAAGGAATTTTGCAGCTGGCATTCCAGCCCCAAGTGCTCCATGGAGGAGCTGGGGTTCAAGAGCACCCCATTCCAAGAGGATGAGATTGTTTATGCTGTGGCAATCCCAGGTGATGCTCACTAGGGATCCCTCAGCACAGAGAAAGATGATGAGGAAATGAAGCAGAGATCAACAAAAATTTTGGCTTTCTTGAAAATGAACAATATTTATAGCTGTAAAGACAGGCATATAATAAGCCATACAATAAGCCTATAATAAATAGGATGTACTAGGTCATAACCCAAGCCAACACATGCCTGGAGTTACAAAATGGTCCTACATGACATTTCTGACATGATCAGAAGAGGAACCACTGATGAAACATTTCTTGCTGCAGCTTAACGTTAATAACCCTAATAATGGGTTTCCATTTTATGAAAGTCACGTCACTCTTCTGCAAGTAATCTTATCACAAGAGATTTTCAAATTACATGTATTCTCTCCTAGAACATTTTGAAATGACAGCTATGGGGGGGAAAAAAACCCCTACCCTACATTATTAATACCATTTTAAACAACGCTGGAATGGGTGTGTACACGTGGGTGCGTGTGTGCCAGCAGGTCCTCATTAGGGAAAATTATAATCTGTATTGTGCATCTAAATTGACAGAACTTCCTCCACAGAGTCTATCTAGCAGCACAAAGGATCTGATATGACTCAAAAAGGAAGACAAGTTTCTCAGCATAAAAACCTCAGATCTGGGACAGAAACAGCAGCTCTCCCAGGGAAACAAAACACTGCTCTGAGCTAGGTATGTGCGAACTGCATGCAGAATGCCTATAGAGTGTAAAACCCAGCTGCCCTAATAAAACATATCAATTTTACCTACAAACTGCCTCTTGTCCTGACACTCACTCTGCTCCAGGGAGCCAGGACAGCAGGCACAGCCATGCCCAAAGAGATTCACTTCCCTAGATGGAAGCTGAGCGGAGGCAAGCTGCATGCTCAGCCCTGCATCCATCATGCTTTCAGCTATTCTCATGTCCACAGGCCAGAGTCTGCTGGCAATAAAATAGCCAGCAATAAAGTCATCACCCCGTGGTTATGAAAATATTTTGCACAATTCAACTTTGTCTTGCTTATCAGAATAAAATTAGAACTAGAAAAGGCTGCCACATTGTGCTGCAAATCCTGTGTACAGCACTAAGTTAATAAATCAACGTGTTAAGAGAAAGTATAGAAACCAATGCATCATTGTATCCATATTTAAATGCTTTCCTAGTTGAAAACCCATTTTAAACCTCATCAAAAGAGGCTCAAAACCAGCTGAAGTGCAAGGGTGGGTGGAACTGGAGCGTATGAAGCCTTTTCTAGCAATGTTACAGGGTGAATTTCCAACTGTCCTCTTTTAAAGTTTGATTTTCAAAACACAGGGTGGGAAAGCAAACTTTCTCAGGGAAAACAACAAACAACAGCACTTCATATATGACACTTAGAAATCCCTACTCTTATCATCACAACATTTTTAGTCAAACAGGATTTTATATACAAATTGCTACTGGCTGATGTACTCCAGAAACCTGCAAGAGTTTAGGCAAAGTTTAAGTGTTTAAAAACTTGTTGGACACATCAAGATGGTCAAGCTACCATACACAGGCAAGCCCATGAGAGCTAATCCTGCAGAAGCACAGAAATACCAACTGGGGAGCTTAAAACAGGCTCAGGAGACTGTCACAGCACAGATAAGCTGAAAGACTGTGCCCTATATGTAACATACCACTTTAAGAGCAGGATGCTATTGCAAAGCAATGAAATCACCTGCCATTCATTCTCCCTCCATCCAAATACCATATTTTCGCTGCAGATACGTAATTAAACCAGAGAGTTTCCCACATAAACCAGCCCTCTAATTACCCAATGGTCAACCTGCATCACCACTGTGATTATTCTGAAAGCTTGGGAGCTTCAGACTCTTTTTCTGCTGTTGCATTTTCCACATATACACACAAATAAGCACCTTACCTGAATAGAAAATGTTGATTTTGGCAAGTTCTTTCTCACAGGTTTGGAAGAATTTCTCTTCAAATGTGGCAAAACACCTTTTCACCGTGTCCTCATCTGTGTCTGTAAAACAGAACAGAAAAACAAAGAAGTTGTAACAGAAGAACATAGAAGCAATTTTAGAAGTGGCTGCCATGGAAATGGTTCTTCAGAGTAAATCCACCATCTTTGTCATGCAGAAAAAGAAGAACAAGCAAGTCTAAAGGGCTTGGGGGAACATATATTTGGCTGTAAAAGGAACTGCATCAAGACAGAGAGGGAAACACTCATATAAGCAGTAAAAGCACCTCAACCAAAGTTCTCATGCTAGTCCAGATCTCACAAGCTCCATTTCCACTTCCTAAACCATCTTGTGTTTGAAGACCAAAGCTGGCCATAAAATTATCCTCCCCAGCTTGGCAAAACAACTGTATTTAGAAGGAAAGCACCAAGTTTTTAAACTGAAGGCTTCATCTGACCTTTCAGGAGGACTCACTGGCTTCAGTCACATTCCCACCTTCTCACCACTCTAATCCTTCAAACACAAACCTATCATCACTGGAAACTAAAATCTGCCTGATAGTATCCAGAAAACCGTGTGAAAGCTTCCCTCCTGGAAAATAAAACTTTCTCTCATCAGCAAAGTTGAAAGGAAGAGGTCTACATTATGGCGAACATGATCAGATCCTCAACTGTTCTCCTCCCCATTGCTCTGGGATAGTTTTAATTCTTTTGGAAGAACTACATACAATTCCATAGTCAAAGTCAAAACTTGAAATTAAAGCAGCAATTCGGTCACTTTGTTGTTATAAAAAATACAGTGCAGAGTCTCAGAGACAGAATGCATTTTCTAATTATTAAGAAATTAGTTTAATGAGTAAAAATATTAAAGAAGACACACTATAATTACCAATTTCGGTACTGTCAAAACCCAAATGTTCCTCATGCTGAAGTGAAGCAGACTCTTCATACCCCCCATAGTTACATTCCCTGAATCTTCAGACTGAAAATATGATACAAACAGGAAAATTAAATTTTTATAATGGTTTTGATAGTGTTGAGAAATAGATCATAGAACCACAGAATCAGGTTGGAAAGGGCCTCTAAAATTATCAGGTCCAACCATTAACCCAGCACTGCCATGTACTAAACCATGTTCCCAAGTGACACATTCACATATTTTTTTAACATTTTTAGGGCTGGTGATTCCACCACTTCCCTGGGATGAAAACATTCAAATAGTTGTTGAAATACATGTCATTAAATTGGGAAGACAAGTGACTGCAGAAAAGCTTCACTCACTAGCAGATACACAAACTAGACTGTCATAACCAAGAAATCTTTTTATTTTGCATTAATTTTTAGGTAGAACCAACCCAAAAGTAGCATTAATCAAGAGAACATTTAAATAGAAACTTTTAGCATTTTCTGGGGTTTATGTTTGCAGCCCTGATATTGAGCACTATGAACCTACATACACTTCAGTCAGGTTTTTAAGGGATGGTATAGAAAGAGCAAAGAACAGAACACCAACGTGCAGCAGAGGAGTAACCTGGGAAGAAATCTGTCTTCTTCTGGAGTTTGATGATGCTTTTAAAGAGTAAACAGAGAGAAAATAACCAGTTCTGCAGAGATGCCTGCTGTTTACAACTCCAACACCTTGTAGAGAAGAATTCTCAAGGGCTCCAAAGGCTGTTCCAAGCTCCAAGTTTTGGCTCCCAGGGTTCCTTTATTATCCAGTCATTATAGTTGCAGATCTGTGGCTACTCCCAAGGATGAGGGCTCCCTCCCTTGTGCAAACAAACCCTGAAATGACAGGGCTCAAGCTCCTCTGTGCTGAGGAAAAGCCACGGCAGCCCCAAGGTGTCATTACAGCCCTGCTTGAGGTCCTTGGCTCTGCAGAATCAAAGATGCACATACCCCAGGCAATCCCACTCCACATCGTGCCTCCCCATGGATCCCTCCTTGAGGGCAACCTAAAACACCAGAAGGACAGAAAATAACTCTGCTTCAGGGCTGGGAACTTGAAGGGCAGAGTCACAGTAGTTGCGACATCCTGCTCGAGGGCCCTCCCAGTAAGGCCAATCTGAACTTGCCTTCAAGAGCTCTAAATCCTTGACCCAACAACAGACAAAGCACAAACAGGCAGATGAAGCAATAGAACTTACTGTGCAATACTTAAAATGCAGAGATTTTTATTCACTAGCTGCCTAAAACTTTTCAAAGTACAGTAATCGGGCAGTATCAAACCACAGTTGACTCTTAAGAATGGACCTGAGAGGCAAATTCTTCAGCCCAAAGAGTTTACACAAGTCAAGAAGACAAGCTTAGGGAGAGGTGCTTTCTGACATGGGGGAACCATTCTTTCCTGCCTTTAAAAATAAGTCACACAGCATTAAAAGCACACAGGCTCGCTGCTTTGCTGCTTCGGAAACACCAAGCCTCTTTTGCCATCACTTGTTTCAGTACATCCACAAAATAATAGTAAGACCAAGCAAGTTTTTAAACTTCAGTCAGCCTCAGAGCTGTCAAAGAATAAATAAAAAAACAAATCTCACCAGGAGCGGAATATACTTTTTGTTCAGAATGTCAAGCATGAATATTTCTACACAACCAAAATATCACCTTTTAAGACAGCAAAAAGCTCTGTAAAGCAACAGTGTTAAACGAACACAATCAGTGCCAAATAAATCAATAAATATCTTGTTTTGTACATTACTGGTCACTTCAGGAAATGACAAATAAGTGTGTTGAACAGTTTGACTATAACCTGAACTTTGGAAGAGGAAAATGGGCTTTAAAACCCAAACCAACTGCTACTGGAAGCCCTTCCAAAAACCTTAAGATTAGGAATTCAGGTCTCTGTTTCAACCTCAAAACATTGCTGACTCAGAGAAAAGCAAGTTCTAGATCAGCTATTCAAAATCCTTCTCCAAATGTCAAACACTGACTTATAAAAGATATTTTGCAGACCAAGATGGATGCCAGCCTTAAAAAAAAAGAAATCAGGATTCTCTGTGAAGAAAAGGTTTCCCATTGGTGCCGTTCCCACTGCAGTTCAGTCATTTAGCTACAATAATAGACCAGTGCGGGCAAGGCTACTGCCTTTATTTATTTATTTCTCCCCCAAGGCTGGGACAGGACAACGTGTTTTGCCATGAGAAAATCACGGTGCCAGAAGCCTGGCCTTGGATTCGGAAGCTCCATGACAACAGGGCCTGTTTTTAAAAGGTATCCAGCTATTGCTGCCAAGAAGGTCCAGCAGTAACCTTCCTTTTGTTCTTTTTCTATAGCCCTAATACTCCATTTACCCTCAGCTCCCCGAAGCTGCCACAGACAAGGCTGCCAAGAAGAGAGTCTGATCAATATTGCAGCTTCCTGACCTCATCTTCCTATGGATTGCCTGTCCTGAATAAAAAACCCAGGAAGCCTGAAAGGCTCTTGCTTTTACTTGCAAAGCCCAAAACAGCAGCAATTGGGATGAACTTCCCCCTACCCCATGTTTTCTGGTTTGCAGAGAGCTGAGATGTCGGCACACCTAAAATAGAAGCTGAAGTTGAAAAATTAACATTCAAATTACATTCCTGCACTGTCCCAAGCACTCATTTCTCAATGCTTCTCTCGAACTGTTCATTTAATTTCTCATTTTCTGCAGCTGTAGTATATAAACAAATGATCACCATCCCAAGGCAGCTCTGCTTACTCACTCTCTTGCAAGAACAACACACAGTAAAAGTTTTCTTTGTTAGAGCAGTGCCCTCTAAAAGTAATACTTTTTTTAAAATCCTTTTGTCTTTATCATGCTGAATTTTAAAGGGTACTTAATTAAAAAAGATTAATTAACTTCGTTATGAGATCAGCACAAGTGTAGTTCTCTGAATCACCTTCTGTTTGCCACAAAACAGCTTTATCTGAGTAATGTTATTTCAACACTTCAGTTAGAGAGGAGGCAATTTCATTTATGAGGAGGGCTCTGCCATTTTGTCAATAAAATAAAAAAATGAAACTTAACACTGGCATCAAACACATCAAATCAAACTGAACAGGTGATCACAAGTTTAACATCAGCACCATTTTGAATACATTAAAATTTTTAAGATTTCCACACTCTGTACCCAGAGCTCAAACAGGTTTAAAACAACAGGACTGTGTTCTGAAAAATAACAAGATTTAAAGGACAGTTTTCTTGTTCTCAGGTCAGTAAAGACTGTAACCGCTTATACCTAGGCCCAGTTGAACATTAAGGGGGAAAAAAAAAAAAAGAAAAAAAAAAAGAAAAATCCACTTCTATTACCACTCAAAAATCTTTAAAAGTGGGTCACTGTAATGAAAACATGTATGTGTCTCCAAAATCCCATCAGCTTTGTCTGTCTACTCAACCATTGCAATTTTCTAATACCCTTGACAGTCCTGCAGCACCAAGACTGTAGTTTCCCAGGCTTTTACACTGTGAGATTTTACAGCTAAAAATCAAACTGTGTAGTTCATAAGTGCAAGGGCGAAGATTACTTTTACACTCCTAATGCCTCACCCTCATGTTTATTGGGTTGTTTTTCCGAAGAAAAGGTTCTTCCACGAGGTAACTCCCTTCCTCGGGACAGAAAGCCGCACTTGGGTCAGCTGCAAATTGAATCAGTCAATGAAACTTCCAATAAATTAATTATTCACTGTGCATCTTCATGTCAAATCTTGTGGCAAATTAAAGTTTCCTCGTACAGAATTTTAAGTGCTTTGAATACAGATAGAGAAATTTCTTCCTAGGATATATTCTTGCTATAGGAAGAGGAAGGAAGCCAACTCTGCTTGCAAGTAACGAATATTTTCATTCATGCTATTACACCTTGACATCTGAGCTATAAATTGTATATATAATGGTTGTTTCTCTCTCAGAATTTACTCCATCAGATGAAAGTGGACCTCGGCTTAAAATACTATAAAATCAGCAGGAAAGAAGCTCCATGCACTGGTTAATCTTAAAAAAAAAAAAAAAGAAAAAGTTAAGAAAATTTATAGCAGGCTATACCTGTGCTTTTCTGAACCCCCACAGATGAGCTGGTCAGCTCTCCACTTAATGAATGCTTCAG